TCTTCAACTGTAGGAATATGGCCCTTGTTTTTCCCATTCTTACCTCTATATCTTCATCGGATCCTCCTTGTTTATCGATGATGCTTCCCAGGTAGATGAAAGATCCCATCTCTTCCAGAGCTTCTCCATCAAGTGTGACTAGGTTGTCAATCTTTGCGTTTTATTTGAGGATCTTACATTTTCCCCTGTGCATGTTAAGGCCTACCGATGCATAGGCTGCAGCTACACCTGTTGTCTAGACCTGCATATGTTGGTGTATATGGAATAGAAGGGCCAGGTCATTTGCAGAGTCCAAATAGTCTAGTTGTATCCAACCTGTTCATTGCATTCCGTGCTTCCCCTCAGATGTCGAAGTCTTCATAATCCAGTCAACCACCAGAATAAAGAGAAAGGAAGGTAGAAACAACCTTGTCTGACACTGATCTTCACTTCCGATGCATCTGTGAGCTAGCTCCCACGAACGACATTACGGTGTAGTCCGTCGTATGAATTCCGTATGATGTTGACGATCTTACCAGATACACCATAATGTCGAAGGTTTTATAATGTTCTCCCATCCACGCCGTCAAACGCTTTCTCATAGTCAAGGAAGTTGATGTATAGAGATGAATTCCATTAAATTGATTGTACAACGATAAACTGTAGTGTCGCGATTTGGTCGGTACGTGGTCGATCCACAATTAATCTAGTCTGTTGATCTGAAAGTTGGATGTCTAATGAGTCATTCACCTAATCCCATTATTAATTAGTGCTGGAGATATTTAATTAGCATAATATGCATTTTTAATGTCTATTGCCGAATGAAATTAACGGATAGTTTATTAGAAAATTAGTTACTTGGTTTAATCTGGCACAAAAGTTTTTGTTTGTCGTTTTTTTTAAGTTATGGTTCATTATTTCTGCTGAGCACTCCATATTGTACTGAACATATAATACTAGATAAAACCATTACTACTAATAATAATAACTAACACAGGTTCAGACCGTCGAACCCATTTATCTTGATTTGCATAGTTCAACAAGTATTACTAGTTCTTATATGAAAAATTGTGGTCCGAAACCGACTGAATGAACCTAAACTAGTTAATAAAATGACATCTGAAAAAAAATACAATATAGACTAACCCAAATACCATACGAGAATGTTGTTATTCTACGTTTTTGATTGATAAAATACGACAGTTGTAGGTTGGAAAATTCGATACACTCTTTATTAATAAAAAATCTAGCTGAAAGCAAATTCTGTGCTAGTTTTTCACATTTAAGATCAAATAAGAAAGTTGATGTCACATTTTTTATACATAGAAGTAAAATCTTATGATAAAAAATGGTATCATATTTATTATGGCTTCATTTATTACTTAGCATATTTGGAAATGATTTCCTACAATCAACGAATGGGTTTGCCCGACTATCTTAACCAAATAGTCAAAGACTTTCGGTAATATAGTTCAAAATCGTTCACAATGGCGCAGGTACATTTGCTTTTTGTCTTCGATTAGATTTGAAATTTCTAAATTACCTAACTACTTTATAAGTATTTTTCATTTCACAAATTTATATTTTACTTCTCGGACATTTTTTTTTATTATTACTGATACTGTTACTACTTCTACTACTCTGGTACTTACTTTTACAATTTCATCACGTTGTACTAATGGGATGTAGTAACATGAACAGCCAACATACTTTCCTGCTTCTACGTTGCTTATGACAATCACTTAATAATGATGAAGGTCGACTTGAAGATAAACAGACTCACATTTGAATAAGTTAGTACGTATAAATAGCAGTGTACAAAAAAGTAGTAGCATCCTCATTCAAATGATGCCACCGTGAAAGTCAAGTGCAACCATCAGATAAAAACAAATCTTCCACTTGATAGGAATAAGAATTATGAATAGTAGTACATATATTTACAAATAACATATTCTATACAAAATGGAATATCTTTTCATACAAACTATTACTTCATAAGATGTTTTTTATTCAATAAATAAATACAAGGTGAATTAAAGTAGGCAAAAAACTAAACAGGTTCATCTGAATCATGTCTTAGAATAATGAGGAATTTAAAAGAAACTAAACTGTAATTAAAGTATATAAATTGATCAAAAAGTAATTTTTCCAACAAACCAATTCAACCTAACTCCTAAAACAATACGAACGTCCTAAATTGCAATGCCGTTTATGCAATATAATAACATAAACTATTTACGATTGAATAATAATTATTTTAAATTAGTATTTTCCTACTTACTGAGGTAAATATTTTATTTGTATAATTTCCAAAATGTTTCTGGATCTTGATTCGAAGCTCTGATTTCTTCTTCTTGAAGCATTTTGCATAAATCATAACTAAAATGTAACAAAAGGAAATTATTGAAAACAAATCGATGGAGAATGAGTTAATGTGCTTAGTTCCAGGGTATTTACTTAAAATATAACTCATTGAAACAAAAACTATTATCGACTTCAAAAATTTTTTAACAGGAAATTTCATAGTTTTATATTAAACAATTAAAAAAAGACCTAATTTTATAAAGTGGACTATAATAAACTACTCTGCTGAACGCTTTAAGATCCAGGAAATTTATTATTTGTGTAATGAACGCTACTCAAACGATTGTTTGTAGGTAGTGTGTAGAAGAACATGACGTCGAAGTTGCTACAACTGTCACACGGAGTGAAGAGCTTCAGTGCATTGAGATCACGGAGTTGGCAAAACACTTCGAGGTCAGACGAGAATACAGTTCAGATGACAGAACACACCGAAAGATGCAAATAGAAGATTGAAGGCTATGTATAACGTATTATAAGAGTACTTCGTAACTTTTCAAAATGAATACATTCCTCCTTCTTACTATTGTGCTTTACATTTGCACTACTAGGACATCCTAGTTGACATAACGGGCAATATGTAAACTTGATAATCATGCCTTAATTTCATAGGTTAGTAGGAATTATAAAATCATTTACTTTTTTAAATAAATTTTAATACTGTACATTTAGTGTAGAAATGTATCATTTCCTGTCTTCCAGTATCTGCACTTCGGAGGCTTCAGTCAATAATTTAGGTTATCAGCCAAGTATACAACACATATTAACTCAGATAATCGTACCATCTACAGTCACACAATCATCATTATCTATGGAAAGTAAACTCAAACATCTCATCTCATAACTTCTTTCCCAAACTTCAGAACTGAATTTTATAGCAGTAAGTTTGACACAGACGCTAAAACTTTACCGAAGTGTAGTGACTGTATATCGATATTACTTTCAATACGACTGAAAACTACGGAAACAAAAATAGAAAATCGTCGAATTGAATGTGGGTGTGTGTCCTTACACTGTTAACTGAACAAATAATTCCCAATTTCCGATGTATATAGTCACAGGATAAATGTGAAAAGTATCATTTGAATATCCTTCTAATAATTATTCATTAGAGTAAAAGTACGGAATATTGTTAACATGAACTTGCAACACGGTTTGAGCAAAAAACTTTCGTAAATGTTTGGCGCTGAATATGTAGAAATGATTATGAAATTAGATTAAATTTTCCTAAATTCCAGTGATTAAAATCAAACTATTCCAACAAGTTTGCACTTCTTCAAGGAAATAATATCAAATCTATCGGATACCAATAAGGTAACAAGAATATTTCTGATCAATCCTTAAGACGTTTGACCCCCTCAGCATTTGCGTTAAAATGTTAATTGAACTGTACATGATATCAGTTACAATTGTTTTTCATTTACTATTTGATTATACAATCCTCCTTTTTTTCCATTCCTTTACAAAATTATCATTCTACTCTGTGTAGGATACTCTTTCGATCTTCTCAAATTGAACCAAAACAGTTTGTTATCAATAAATAAAATAGTTAATAGATTCACAGATTAATGATTTAGTAGTTACTAGTTTAACTTATACGACAACCTAAGTTTACTTTTCTTTATAAACTACACAACTAAAAATAAAAATCTGTATTATTGCATAAGTATTCCCAAATAAACATAATGCTATATATTAAAAATGCTTATCTTTTAAATTCGAATAACACATTTGGACAAACAATATTATTTTCAATAAGATTTTCATCAGGCCTTATTACTCTAATGCGCAGTAATATTTATGTGTAAATATTAAATCAATCAAGACAGTTAGTTTGTAAGTCAATGATAACCACAAAATAGATTACGTAAATAAGCATGATAGTCAGTATAGGTTTATGGAAATTGTGGGATCCTTAAAGCTATTAAATCACGCAACAGATGTTATTTGGATAAGCATCAAAAACCTAGAAGCACTGGACGGTTTTTTCGTCCTAGTGTGGGACTTCTCAACAGTGCCCACCCGCAACATGGAATTGGACTCAGGACTGGTTTTGCACACAAAAGCTCAACCTCCAAACTACTGAGGTAGTGTCTAAAGATGTTAAGAGTTCGCACCCGAGGCCCTGGGATTCGTGTGCACCGATGAGAAACCCCATACTAAGATGAAACGGCTATTGTGTGTTCCCTGGCTTTCGATGGTGTTCTAGCTAAAATCAATTCATGATTTAATAACTATCAGCATGATAATTAAAAATTAAAAAGTACGAAAGTGTTTAAAAGCCTGATGAAAATCTGATTGAAAACGATATTGTATTGTTTTAATTCCATATGAAATCAAAAGCACTCACTCTAATGAAGTCGAGTTACTCTCGCTGAGATTATACACAGGTATAGAATCAGGAGAGTATTGTTTTTCGACAAAATTATCTTTACTGTTATTACTATTAGTAGTACTTTTACAATCGGTTCTAGATTTTGAATCCAATTTATCCGATTTAATTGTAATAACACGAACAGCATCAGATGTCTTTCGAATTGATGAATCAGACGTTGTTGGACAAAATAATTGAAATGAACAATCAACAAATTGTGTATCACCATCTAAATCATTTAATAACTCCCAAACAATATTTGGTTCATTGAGAAGACCCATATCTGTGACTAATACAAATATTGAATCCTAAAACAAATATGATTTCCAAAAAAAATTACTAGCATCAATCAGTTGCTTTCTGCCTAAGAAACACAATAATTCTAATCACATAACTCTGAAAAAGTAAAATACTCGATACTTTTACGTTTGGAGAATATTTCCTGGAAACGACAAGTTAAATATGGAGTCATAGTAGCATAGATTAGAGTGGTAAGGCTATGTTGTAATAAAGGTGATGTGGAGAAGGAAATACTCAATAATTAGGAGGTATTTTAATTCTCATCATAGGCTGACATCAGATGGAGATTCACTGGAAATCAGGAAGTACTGAATAACTGTTTGGATTGAATGATTCGTTGCACCAGTGATACTACAAAAAATATATAGGATTTTCAGGTCTGAAGACAAGTATGACAATACTAGGTTAGAGACGATAACTAACGATATACACTTTTTAACGACAGTTAACTTACGATGTAGAGCAATCATAAAATGGTATCAGGGAGTGATCGCCCCGTTCCAATATGGTTGATCTCAAAAAACACTAACCTCTTGGGACTCCGTGAGTTTATTCGCAAAGATTGTCACTTTGATAGATTTTTGGAGATTTATATGCTTAATGTGAATATAGACAGTTATTAACTGAAAGAAGACTGAATATCAAGGAGTACATAGAATCTATTCAGTGTGGAGACACATGTATTCATTGATAGAACGTTTCAAATTAGGATGAAACAATGACAGATTTTTAGTGTTTTTTGACTTGGAATGTTTTCAAACTGATGCCGATTTGTTATGAAAAGTATTTTCGAATTAAAGAAATTTCTACAGATCCATTTAACTTGATATAATAGTTAATATATACAAAAATAAACTTGTTTTCCGAAAACTTTTTCATGTGAATTTACTTTTGAAATTATTACTTCTAAAACAAATTCAATTTCATCATTAGTTGGATGCATCTGTAATTTTGACGAATTTCTAATTCATTCTAAGAAAAAACTTGAATTTACAGTTATTGTACTGTCATAATTATATAGTACCTACATAATTTTCTGGGCGTGAATCAACTCTACAAATTAACAGACATCTTTCAACATATCGAAAATGACAAAAAGTAGGAAGACATTTGAACTTTTAAGCAAAGAGTTCAGACAATAACAATTAATTAGAGATTTCTTGGTTGTATTAAGATTTTTACTGTCGTATCCTACTATTTTAGGAAAACGTAGTATATAATTTACTCATTCAAATTAATATGAGATGGTTGGACAGAAAACAGCAAAAACAGTACATTTACAACCACGACACGTAATGTAGTATCAGTACAAGAGGAGGATGAAAATTTTTATGCATAAAAAATATAGAAAATTGTACAAGATTGTAATTCTGTTTAGCTGTTCAACATATGTTATCCTCTCTTAGAGGTTAATTGTCAGTAGCATGTGTCAAATCGTTTGTCGTTAAAAAAGCATTCCTTACTATATGGGTTTGTGGAGATCGATGACGTTTCATAGCTGAAATCACGGACTGATCATCGTTAAACAACTAGTGGTTGTGCAAGATCGATTCAATGTTAACTATGAAAATAACAATTTTTTAACGGCAAAAATGTCATATTTTCATTCGATTTATGAAGCTTCAATATTTTCAATATGTTACATAAATAATTTCACTTCTGCTCAGTGCAAACGAACAGATAAAACACGTATTTATTGAATAGACGCTTCAAGTGGGCTATAATCAAATTTAAATAATCCAATAGGCCTGAATAGAGCTTTGGTTAGAGCACTATAGTTGTAAAGTATCTGCCAGACAGTGGATAACTATAAAAGAATATGCTACAATAGAATAAAAGCTCGTCATCCTCCGATTTGTCCTAGAATGTGAAGGAATAAGCGGCACGACTAGTTTTAGACTGAGTGGTGAATTGGAAAGAATGCATCCAGCCACCATACTAGTCTCCTCGCATCAAACAAATGGGTCACTGAGATAAACAAAGGTAGATAACTTCCAACTTCATGTTAGTTCCAACTGTATTTACCAGTATATGCCAGAGTATTTACATAGAATGAACAGAAAGTTTTTTTTCGCATCTCGCAGAACATTCTACAACAAATGAGACTAAACATGCTAAAATGATTCAGTAATGCAATTGCTCGTAATCTGATTGTTAGTGTACATAATTTTAATACAAAAATAATCAATACTCACACAACTTTGGATTCATTAGGTCTCATTATGGGCGTCGCTATTAAAGGACTGAAAAAGAAACTATTCATTTAAAAAGATCCAGTTGTACATCTCGCACTACCCTGTGTAACTTCTATATACAATATTTTATTTGATCCTCCCAACAATAATTTATTTTCTGCATTTTTGCGTCATTTTTTAACCTTTACTCGCTTCACTCTGTTTATCTACCTAACTCTACAGATGTTATTACGCAACTTGACATCAATCTTTATTTTCAACAAATTTGTCATCATAAACTTTTAAAATACGTTCTTTAAAAATGCTATATAAATTAGCAGGTAAATATTTAAACATTCTTATAATTCGTCCATATTTGTAGCCTTTATTCAATTAAGATTATATGAATTAAGCCGATTAGTTTCAATTAATCAATATTATTATTCCTTACGAGTGAAGCAGTTGATGAGATACCGCGTAATTTATAAATTCACATTATTTTTCTCGTTTTAGTCAAATTTATCAATGAGGAAGATTGTATCAAACTTATTTCAATGAACATATCATGAATCAAGATTACAAGAGATAAGTGACCATTTGTTCTGTTTATATTTATTATTAAAAGTTTGAGCAAGAAGAAATTTCTGTGATGTATTGATTGTATATGGAAGATATAACAATATTTGATTATATTTTACTATAGAGTTTATAAAGAATGAAAACTGAGATATTGGATTGAAGATTCGAATCAATGAATAAGTAAATTTCTAAGTAAATGCTAAAAAAGATGTTTAGGTTATCAGTAAACTCTGTCTTTTTATCTCTGCATGAACGATACATTGCTAGTTCTGAAAAACAAGTATGAGCTATCACACATTGACTGGATAAATTTACTAGAGTTCATTAGTCAAATTTTCTAATGAGAGAGGAAAAAAGTGGCATCGTTTCGCTTCTCGATTTTCTATTAACAAGAAGACCATATTAAATAATAGAACGACATTTAAATCCATTTATTACGATTCAGCATTCACTACAACACAATCTAAGTGTTTGGTTGACAGCATTAAATTAAATTGTTTGGACAAGAATTTCGGAAAGGAACTCAAAATTGTTTGTGATCTGCTTGCTTAGTCAAGATCAATATCCACCAAAGTTCGTAATAAAACATATTTCTGTATTTATTTATTCAACTATTTTTGTGGAGCAAGTTACATTGGTCACATAATATAATATAAGGTGAGTTCATCATCATCATTTCTGAAAGTCCTCATTTATAACTGAGTAAACGACAGAGAAAAAATAAGAAGTTCTAGAAGTGTAAATTTAGTCGCTTTATACCAATCATTAAACTGAAAATACTCAAAGCTAACAGCTGTGTTCAACCCAATTTATCGTATGCCTCTGGATTTCGCATCTTACATACAGCCGAGATAAAGGAAAGTGGTATAAAAAAATCTATTCCTTTTGTCTAAAACTATATTACGTATCTACTACACAAAAATTACAAAGTGGTGGGTGGTCTCAGATGTTGAGTTCTCTTATAAATATATTATTACGGAACCCTGAGCAACAAATTAATAAACATGCATAACATTGAAGGACAATAACCAATAATTAAGCCCATTTCTAAAAGAAAACAAGGTCATGAGGACATTTGATCAGAGATTATTTTTTACTTTTATTTTGTTAACAATATTAATTAAATCATGGAAAATAAAACCTTGACTGAGTTGTCTTCATTTTTCAAAAATTTAATTTGATTGAGCAAATGATTACTGATGAAATTCTCATTTGATAGTGTCTTAACGACAATTTTGTTTGCTGTTGGGCGTAATATATCATGCAAACTGTAAAACTTAACAAAATGAGTGAATTTTACAATTCGCGTAAAAAATGATATAGTCATATATATATTCAAGAATGTTAGACTTTAGACAATTTTATAGACGCAAACTACAAGCGTTTGATAAGGAAAAAACACGACAATAAGGAAATATTGTCGATATTAAATGAGTTCGAGTTATGAGTTTTAAATTTTTAGATGCGAATTTGTAGTTAATTGCATTTTTATGCGGCTGTAATTGCAACAAGAAATTTGTGCTATGGGCAGTAGTTTATCATAGCACCTAGCGCTTTTTATATGTATGTTCAGGTTAGAACCCATAGACTGAGGTCGATTGGTTTAATCAAATCAATTAAATCAGATTAACTAGTTCATCAGATACTTTGGGTATGAGCCATCCTCTAAGTGTGAGGGTAAGTGATACTATGCTGTTTCCTGAACAGAAGCAGATGGAGCGTGATTTGAATCCAGGCTTAACAATGTTGAAAGTTGGACGCCTTAACCACTGAGCCATCGATCCACTGTTCTAACCAATAAACCACAAGTAGTTTCGCCGACTTGAATTCACAGGATAACCAATGAGTTCCACATGCAATATATTCACAGCTGGTTATTTAAAAAAATGATATTTAACAATTCTCGTTTAATAGTTATTTTGATCTCCAAGTAACTGATTCGTCCCATCTGAAAATTAATTCGTAGATACATATTCTGGTATTCATTTAGTTTGGAATAGTGCATAGTTATTACTCAATCATATCATGCTAAATCTTAGTGCATGTCGATCGATCGATAATTTCATCATTCGCTCTCTTTTATACAATGGAATGTGACACATGACTAGAAACAATTTTCGAAATCGATATATGCATGATGAAATATCAGTCACGAGATTTAATCAAGCCAAGCTAACATGAGGCCATTCACATATTTAAAACAATGGATTTACATCTTACCTTATGCTTTAATATGGTGTTATAGTGATTATTTCGAAAAAACACAGCCAATTCTTCATCGTGTAAAGTTGTAACTAGCTGGCTTAGACCATGAAAAGTTAACTGTGAACCGCTTTCATTTAGAAACCATTCAACAAGTATACCTATTGTTTAAATATGAGAAAGGAAATATTATTTCCTATATATTTTATTACATTGGAGTAGTATTAAACCAATCTTTTTAACAGATAACAGTAACGTAACATTTATAGGTAAGGATTGGAATAAAAAGAACTAAATAATTCTAGCTGGATCTTTCTAGACGATTTCATGAAATAATTAGCCAGTGCTTATGAGTGAGAACTTTTGGAATGGATACTCTGCATTTTGAGTGGCAAATCATAACCTTGCAGAGTCAACTAAGTTATCTAAAAGGTTGACGTTAACCGATAACATTAGATGACGGACACATTGTATCCCAACATAAATTCTGTAGGACAGTGTGTATCAATGAAGTGAAACGGAATGGTGCAATGACAATGGACTTTTCATGAGATCTCAAGGTCATGGGTTCGACTATCCATATAGATATGAATATCCGTTCACTCACTAAGGTTACGTTAAATTCAATTTACTATGATAATATTTGTGAAACTGAATAATGATAATTGCATTACGTTTATCGAGTCGTCAAAGAAAGTTCTTTAAATATTCAATGAAACTTGAACGAGATAATTTCACAAGTCAATCAAAAAATGAACACTCAAACTAGTATTCCATCAAATTAAATTTTCCTTTGTACAATCAAATAATTTGGCATAAAGCGAAATAATGTGTATAATAATATTTGAAAATATGAAAAGAAAGTAATTGCAGTAATACGGTTATGTTTTTTACAGTCACAAATTAGAATTTAAAAACATAGTATAGATGATTAGTCCTTTTGGGTGAAATACACAATTATACAATGAAATATTGATTTCATGAAACTATCTCGACTGCAAGAAACGTAAACAAACAATCGATACTTTCCTGTGAAACAGAGTGGGTTACACACCACAAGCAATATTCTTATATATTGAAGCAGAGATCTCAACATTTATTGACCATAAGAGAATACTTCTTTCATTTATACATCAACGCTTTCTAGTATATGAATTATTATTCATCCATACAAAAAAGAACTACATTCTATCTATATTGAATGATAGAAAAAATGACACACATATCCCACTTACTTCTTTTTAAATCCTCATAATTATCAGATGATTCTAATCGGAGTAACTCTTCAGTTAATTGATTATAAGTTCGATTACCAACAGTTGCAGCTAAATCATGTTCATCAGGATCCACAAGCCAACCATGATAAATGTGTATGTTGAACAAATCAAATAAGCTTAATGTTGGAGTGTACTCAAAATCTGCAACACTTATAAAATAAGTAATGAAATGACAATATACTTAAAAGATTAACTGGAACAAATAATCACAAGTAAAACAAAATCCAAAGATTATTATTATCAGATAGATTAGTCAGTGTGATTCAACACTTGAGTGCGACAATCGGTGAATTCTAGTTTTAACTCATGTTGAACTTAGTTTAACTATTAAAACATTCTGATACTCAATGTGACTGATAATACACCTACCACTTGTAAACTAATTATGCTATCCGGTTAAACTAATCTAAGTAGGTGGTTGTCAGAAGTCAAGTGTTTAAATCAATGAGCGCGTGGTCTGTAAAAAATTGAAAGACAATGTAACGTATAAGGACTACTCAATAAACGGTATTATACATTCAGTATCTTTCAGAAGTGAAAACAAACTATTAAGAAGTGTTTGGTCATAGCTATTATACACAGCTACTTAGCACAGATTATGTTAAGTTAATGATTTACTTCACCAAAAAATTCTTTACAAATCTACATTTTTATTAAACTCACTGAACAAGATCCTTTTTTACAGTTGAATACAAACATATTCGACACTTATTTCTTAACAACTAAGGTTCAACTATTTATTTATTTATTTATTTGAGCACATAAATATTGGTATAAGAGAGCGCCAATATATATGCGCCACACAAAACAATGAAAATTCGAAGAGAGAAAAGAAAAAAAAACTAAGGAGCACAAAAGAAAAAGAGAACGATAACAAAGAGATTGGTGAAAGGTAGTGCGGTCGTAACGATGGAACGGAAAGGTACAATCAGAAGAAATCTTTCAAGTAAGGGAGACACAACCACTTTTTATGAAGAAAGTAAAAGAAGGTTACAGCAGGATCGCCACTGGCTTCTATTCTGAGCCATATCTGATAACGTCTCTAGCCACTGTGTAGCACCATCTCTCAGACCCCAACCAGGGAGTCGTGAAGGACCGACAGAAGCCAGTCCTTTGCAGCTTTCTTTCATACCACGACACCATGTCATGCACTGACCACCTCTCCTCCTCTTCCAACCAGTCCCAGAGTCGGCAAATAATGCACGACGTGGAATTCTTCGGGACGACATTCGTAGAACGTGTCCAAGCCACCGAAGTCGATGTTTCAAGATGGTGACACCAATTGGATTATCGTCACTGAGCCCGAACACAAAATGCCGAACTTCTGCATTGCTAAAATGGTGTTGCCACTGGATGTCATCAATCCTTCAGAGACAACGATGATCAACCACAGAGAGTCGCCTAACATCCTGAACTCGGAGAGGCCAGGTTTCACAACCATAGAGCAAAACTGCTCTCACCGACGCGTTGTAGATCCGACCTTTTACAGCCAGACTAACATCACGAAGGCGCCAAAGGTGGCCCAGATTGGCATAAGCCACTCTGGCTTTCACTATACGTGCATTGATCTCATCACTCACACCACCACCAGCACTTATGCAGCTACCCAGATACACGAACTTCTCGACTACTTCTATCTGCTCACCATCCAGGGTGAGTACAGGATTGGAATCCTGCCAGTCTTGTAGAAGTACTTTGCACTTCGAAGGTGCAAAGCACATACCATACCTACGGACACTGACTGCCAACTGATTAAGTGCGGACTGCATGCCTTGGGCATTATCGCACAGTAAGACAATATCATCCGCATACTCAAGGTCGAGAAGTCTTTCTCCAGGCAACAGATCCACACCACCATTACTTACATTCATCAGAGCTGTTTCCAGAATGTCATCGATGGCAAAGTTGAAGAGGAATGGTGAGATTGGGCAACCCTGCCTAACCCCACTACTCGTATAGAACCATGGAGAGAGGTGGTTGTATGCCCTCACTCTGCCTGAGGTGTTTTTATATAGGGCTTTTAGGATGTTAATAAACTTCTCAGGCACACCCTTCTTCAATAGACAATCCCAGAGAACAGTCCTGTCCAACGAATCGAAGGCAGCCCTGATGTCAAGAAACACTACGATTGTTGGCCTTTGATAAGTATGACAGAGTTCTAACATTTGGCGGAGGGTGAAGATATGATCAATACAACCTCGACCAGAACGAAACCCAGCCTGCTCCTCGTGAGTCAATCTTTCTCGGGTTTTGAACAACCTACGAAGTATGACGGAAGCCAATAGCTTGGACGCAATCGGAAGTAGACTTATCCCCCGATAGTTGTTGCAGGAACGACGTGAACCCTTTTTAAAGATAGGAACAACTATCGACTCATTCCATGACGTTGGTACACTCTCTAATTCCCAAACCTTTGTAAACAACGTCGTCAATTCCTTGGTCAAAAAGTCACCACCATCTTTAAAAAGAGCCGGAGGTAAGTCATCTGGGCCAGGTGATTTGTAACGCTTCAAGAGTTGGAGTTCCTTGCGGACTTCCTCCTCGTTTGGTGGATCAGTCGTCACCGGCCATGGAGGGCAGGACAGTCTGACCGATGTTGCCGGAGCAGCAGGCCAGTTGAACTGCCCTTCGAAAAATTCTGCCCATCGTCCAAGACGTCGATGGATGTTAGTGATTGGCATCTCATCATCCTCGCAGATTGTTTCACTCACACCAGACTTCTTGCTGCAAGTGGCTCGGATGAGCTGGAAGAGCTTCCGGTAGTTACCAGATGCAGCTGCTGCTTCCATCTCATTAGCACGTCTCGACCACCAGGCTTCTCGGTCCTTACGCAAGCTTTGCCCAAATTCCTTACGTAACATCCTTCGTTTATGGTCAAACTCACGGTCACCCGGAGTCGACCGACGGGCTTCAATAAGTTGTAAGGAACCAGAAGAAACCCAGTGCTTATAAGCGGGACGTTTCGCAAACCCACAACTGACTGTTCCCGCCATTTTCATGGCGTCATGCAATTGCAACCAATGCTCATCTATACTTTTCGGTGGAGTGGTAGCTAGCCTAGAAGCTAGCTCGGTTCGATACTTATTTGCAACAGAAGTTGCAACCAACTTGCTGACATCAATCCTTTGATGGTGGTCACTTCGTTGTCCACTGAAAAGTAAGGCAAGGTTGGCGCAGACCAAGGCATGGTCAGAGTCTAGATAGGTACTCCAAAAGGAGCGGCAGTCTTTTACACAACCACGCCAGCGGAAGCTGATCGCGATGTGATCAATCTGAGTCCAGGCTTGGGATGCAGAGGGAGGACGCCAGGTGGCACATCAGCGATGACTGTGCCGAAAGTTAGTGCTAGCCAGAAACAGGTTGTGGTCTGTGCAAAGTAGCAGTAGACGGTCCCCGTTATCTGACCTGCGACCAACGAGTCCCCATCGGCCACCTAAACGACTCTCTTCTGTGCCTAGACGCCCGACCTGAGCATTCAAGTCTCCAGCTAGTACTACAATATCTGTCGAGCGCACTTTCTGGAGAAGAACAGACAGCTGGTGGTAAAACTCATCCTTGATTGCATCCGGGCTGCAATCTGTCGGGGCATAGGCGGAGATGACGAAAAGACATCGTTTCTCACGCCGATTTCTTCTCACTTTGATGGGACTTTCTAATCTAACAGCACATAACCGACTGTTAATGGGGATCCAATCGACTTGTGTTGCCTCAGCTCTAGCGCTTAGTGCGACACCAACGCCAGCAAGACCAGATGAAGTTGCCACAGGGTCCCTGGATAAGCGCACGTAAAACAAGCTTTTCGAAGCGACAGATGGAGATCGAATTTATAGTACTTCGCCAGAGTCTTGAATACGGGTCTCGGATAGACAACAAACATCAATATTGAGACTTTCCAAAGACATAGCCAGCCCTATCTGTTGTCCGACCTGCATTAGTGTGCGAACGTTGAAGGCAGCCAGTTTGAATGGTGCACGTGGTTTCAGAAAAACTGCTTCAGTTCTCGTATTCGGTGGTAACATACAATCTTCAACCGAACAGTGACTTGAGAACGTTTAGATACAGTCGAATTTCCACCAAAGACGAGCCGCTGTATAAGTATAAAAGAGGGTGAATAATGTGGAAAATAATAATAATAATAATAATAATAATAATAATAATAATAATAATAATAATAATAATAATAATAATGACAATAATAGTAATGATAATTATTTGAATTGATTGATTGTTTATCGGATCGAGATAGGTAGTTGCCGTAGTCATAGAGCTCATTGTTTGTGTGTGGGCTGTGATACTGCCCGAGTGCCCAAACCGAAGCAGGTGGTTATCTTAGGGGGCCACACCCCGAGCCTTTGACCTAATGGTCTAACCCACAAGGCAGTGGAACATCGTGAGGAGATGCAATCCCATGGTAGCCGGTGACCAACGATTGGTTCATACGCCATTTGTTCCCGCAGGATACTGGAGCCCATGTGCACCATTGGTTTGTGATCCGGTTAAAGCGCCGGACGTTCGCTTTTCGTCCTCTCATTTTCGTAAACAACACCCCCGCCACGAGAAGGCAATGAGTAGGACTTCCCTGGCAGAGGCTGTATACGCGCGGCCGTGTGAGAGTATTTCGAGAGGGAGAGCGGACTCTCCCCACTCTCGGCCGTACCAGGGCGTTCGGGGGTAAGGTTCAACTATACTCAATATTAGTGTATGCTTTAGACAATAAACACATTACGAACTGAAATGTGAAGGTTATTAATTACTGATGTAACTGGGAGCACGACCAGTCAATCGTACCCTAAATAAATCCATATGGATTTTTCAAACTTTTTATTTAATTTAATACACACAAATTACGGTGTAATAGGGTACCAAAACGTGTGTCACATAAATTAATCGATAGTATTGTGTAGAACAAAGGGAGGAGAGTGTAGTACAATCAGTGAATTAATGAACAATAATCGTACGTGATAAAGAATATAGTTTAGTTAAAATTACGAAGTATGGCTAAGGGTCGAGAATACAAATATTTACTTGATAAATGAGTTACATTATTATTGTTATTATTATTATTAATTTAGTAACCTAAATGTGAGAATTAGAGAAACACTATCCCGTTTGTATTTTATTTAACCAAGTTGGTATGCAATGCGGAAATAAAGCGATCAACAAAGTTTAAAAGTATCTAATAAATTTTGGAATTATTTCGAATCATTTATGTCAATATTTCTGACCTCTAGAAATCAAACAATAGAGTGATCGTTTTAAAAATGGTTGACAGTTTCTTGTTGTATAGCTCACTGCATCCACCCACTAAAGTTGGGTTACTTCATTAGATAAAAATCCAAAAACCAATTTATTTACATGAACCATTAAGTTAGTGGTTTCCTCGAAGTGTGTTATCTTCAAAAAAAGCAAATTAGTTTGAGGATTTAAATTTTTCTCTTAGACAAAAAAATTTGTTAAGAACAGATAGTTTGTTAACTTCATAAAACAAGTAAAAATTTGTACTTCAAGCTTAGAGTGTATATACATTGATTCAGAATAATGAAAAAAATCTCACCATCGCAGTTTCACATGTGGATTAAATTTGCTATTAGGATTCACAGATTAAGGTTAAAAGTCAAGACAAAGTTGTAATTCTATAATAAATACTTATTTAAAGATATTGTACATCATAAGTTGGATTTAGCTAAGCAATCATTAGAAACTACGGAGCACTAGACAGTCATTTTATTCTAATGTAAGACTCCTCAGCAGTGTACATTCATGACCCAAAAAGGTTTTTCGATATGATACAGCAAGAATTAAGCTTGATAATTAGGTATTAATTTCATTGAACAGTAAATGACCTATGGATGCCATATGCTTTTATCAATTATTTATTAAATTACTTTTGATCAGGAATATTTTTGTGTTCAATATTTAGTACATAAGCGGGTTATTTTGTTAAAAGAAAAACCTATTCAATTGAACAACTGACTTGTCCTCTGATATCAGTTCAGTTCGAATGCTTATGAGCAGTCCATATCACTCGGTCACTTGGTATCGTTGTATATCCATCCATAGAATAGCACTGGATTGATACATTTGACAATCCAAGCATCTTTTACATAAAATCCTCCCCTAAAACAGTTCCAAACTCAACGCTTCCAGACATTACATTGAGCATGCTAACTAAAGACGACTACTGAACTTAAAATCTAGTGATGGGTGATAACTGTCACATTCACTACATAGTTAAGCTCTACAGGTCACAGTAGTTGCTTAATGGAACTTCTGGAGTTTTTCTTAAGGTCTTATTTACTTATTTATAAAAAACATATTAGCCGATAGGATTATTAAAAGGAGGAAAATTAAGTGAAATGTTTAATTAGTCATTAGGTTAGCAAAATTATGACCTATAGGAAATTTCATATATTCAAAACTAACTTTAATAAATCCAAATTTCCGCTACAGATTTTAGAGATTTCGGTAATATCTAATCAATCAGTGGAACTGTATAACCTTTTTTCAGCATGCTTAATTGTAGATGTGGATTTGTAACCAGCCATCAGTTTACCGATGGTAAATTTAATGAAAAGGTGATGCTTATTTTTACCTAGTTACTCAATTTCCTTAGTATAAATGAAGATAAAACTAATAAATAAAAATAGTATTATTATTATTACTATGACAAATAGTCTACTTACCCAGTAAACCTGATATTTATATCAAGTCCGGTTTGTAAACTGGGAAATAAGCAAAGTACATCACGGAAATTTGACTCATAATTAATTTGTTGGTCGTAATCAAGATCCTATGGATTTGTTTTCAAAAAAAAAGGAATTCAATTTAAAAGCTGGATAGCATACTGATTTTTAACAATACATTCAAGTTCGTCAGTTATATGAAGAACAGAACATCCAAGGTGGACGCAGCTCAAATATCCAGTTTAAAAAAAGCCGGTACTGCATCAAAGCAAAATACACGTTGAAATCGAAACCATTTAAGAAATAAACATCAGAATAAATACCAATATTTTTGTGTTATTCACATGCTTTTAAACTACGTAGGGTAGTTTAACTAGTTTTACACAAAAGTCGACTACTGACGTATATTACACTAAAAGATTTCGGAAAGACCTTTATCGTTGCTTACACTAACAAAATATTTTGACAAATGGGGAAAATAAGCATTTCCTATATATCTAGTTCTCCATCTGTCAAGGTTTATAATCAGTATTCCAATTTTAATATTGTAGAAATATCACTACATAACATCATTCATCTGAATCTCAGTATATTCATACTAAAGGTTTCTTTCTAAATACTTTTTATACCCAACAATAAAGTTCAACATTGCTAAAAGAATTAATCAATAAAAATCTGCTGGAGAGCTATAGAACTGTAGTAAGAAGACAAAGATATGTAGGGAATCATCTGAGCAAACCGTTATCTATATTAACATTTTCTCTGCACCACCAAGCGAATTAGCTAGAGAACTGTTCATATAGAGATTTGTTTTACGGTTTACTAAAAACAACCTAAATTGAGACAGAAACTCATTGATTTACGTGTTACATACAACCTACAACATAAAATTGATCATGTGACACATTTAGCATTATCATTTTGACTTGATGATGATGCAAAAAATAGTCTTTTTAAATACTTCAAACGTTCCAAGTACTATAAAAATGTATTTTGCTTAGTACACTTTTTATGTGATACAAAATAAAAGTCATCCTTTTTTTTCTGAATTTTGTGCAGAAAAGTTGAAAATAGTTCTTTTTCGATTCTGATTGATTACCCGACCAGTCAAAAAGTTAAATTAGAACGTATTAAATTTTGGCATTTTACAGATGTTGATTTAGTTAATAATTTATTCAGTATTATTTAAAAATTCTGTTTATCTTTTCAGCAGAAATTTTCCCTTAACTAGATAAAGTAGTATTTTCATAAATTATATTTTCTATAAATTTATATATATGTATAACAGAAAAGCAACAACATTCATGAAATATTCTTTTAAACCTTAATTACTTAGTCCACTTGTCAATGACCGACATGACTCAGTCATTGACAAGTGGACTGAGTCATGTCGGTAGGTGTAGACTACCTGGTTGGGGACCGCGAGATGATAGCAACCGATGGTTAGAGACCCTGAATGACATGGCTCAAAATCGTTGGCAATGGCGCAGGTGCATCCACTCTTTGTGTTCTCCCAAATTTTGATCTCCTGATCCCCCTTGTCTCTTTTTTTTCTCTTCCCAAGTTTATTTCACTGTATTATACTCTTTAAGTAACATCTCCAAAAACTAATCTTTCCGATTACTGCTTATACTCTTACTACCTCTACCACTACGGGATTTGAATCGGCCACTACATCTCTGTGCTAATGTGGTGTGGCAACTCGAACTGATGTACGTACCTACGAAGTTCTACGTTGTTACTGACTGACTGACTAATTACCTTTTGATCTAACATGATTCGTTCTTCTGTGATATTAATGTTGCATAAACCTATAACAACCACTCATATATATGCCTGAAACATAAAATAATTATTTATTAATCGAGCTAATACAAAGCACTTACAACTAATGTGTTACCTTTCAAAATTTGGTTATAAAACTTACATTAGGAGCTTTCGATAAAAGTAATTCACTAAGAATAGCCAATAAACGATTACCACTGATTAATTCACTATCATTTGATAAATTAATTGTTCCACGTAATAAAAGTACATTTGCTATAGCAATCATTGGGCATGGACCATTGTTATTTTGTGTTATAATTGGACGTGTTTGATTATTAAATTTAATCCATTTAATATGATATATAGAATTTTCTAATTCTTTAATTAATAATGAATCAACATTTGATGTGTTTGATATGTTATTAAGTAATTTATTCGGTTCAATTATAGGTAGACAATTAGAATTATTATTATTATTATTTATAGAAGTGTTTAAATTACTTATTAATTCCATTGTATTTAAATTATTCAAGGATTCATTTGAATCAGATTTAGTTAACTGAATATTTTTTGGCGAGTTGTCAAGTTGAATAAATATACTCTCATTTTTATCCTTAATATGTACCGATAATTCATTCTCTGAATGTACAGTATGATTATTGATTTGATATAAAACAGGAAGTGATTTAGAAATCGAGTTCAAGTTCAAAGAATCTATGAGTAATTAAAAAGGAGAATTGAAAATTCTGTAAGATGAATATTAAAGTGAAATTAATTTATAGAAAATATACTGCGATAACCAGAATAAATTTAATTCAATATAAAACGTATATTAGTTTCGTCAAAATCCTTTATGATATAATGAGAAAAGATATGAATGATTTGATTGAGATAAACAAACAACAATTAATTATTTTCTCAATCACATTTTAAAGAGTAATTATTCTAGTCATATCTATTGGGTATAAGTTGTGTAATTATATGATATTTTATATTTACGTTTATTCAGTAAATTATTAATCAATTAATTAATGTTAAACGATACTCAATTCAATCAATATAAACCTAACTGCTAATCATAATAAATATGTCATATGAAATTTAGTGTGTTCATGAATTATTTTGATTTATTTAAGGTATAATATAAATTCTCATATAAAATCTTCTTGTTCTTATTTGTGTTATCCGATTTATCGTTTTCCTGTTGAAGTATCAAGATACATTTGCAGTTGCAACACTAAAAACGTATTTTTAGAGGGTCGATTAAGCTTTATCCACATTAATGTTTGATGTTTTTACTTCTCGTCATGAGAATTGTAGGGGTTCTCGATTCTCAGTATTTAACCTTAGAACTGGAAATAAAGCAATTAACAAAGTCCCAAGTTTATCTGAAACAATGGTCAACCAAACACCGTTCAAATACAACAATTTAGAAACTTTGTCTATGAATTTTCATACGTTTGCTAATAATATAACCCATTCTTTATCAAAACTACTGTAGGCTATAGAACTATCTTTAAGCTTCAATATTACTAGTAGCATAGAGAATGATGTCGAAATGAAACCGTTACAAATCCAGTTTACAGCATATTTTAGCTTGGATTTAACTATTCATATGTATCACTATGTGTTTACTATCTACAATTATCGGATTCTAAGCTGTTATGTAGATACAATTCAATCAAAAATAATGTATTACATCACTCACTGCACTACTGAAATTAAAAATACCATGGGTTAAACTTATTTCATGAAACGGATTAATGGAATCTAGAAAAAACTTACTGGACTATTTTTCTGTGTAAAGTAAAACTTAGTAAACATTGTCGCGTTCATAAACTAATATCAGTTCAACAAGGTTTAAAAAAACTATACAGAAGCTTTAGTCCATTTTGAGCCTAGTTAAGATTTCTGAACTCTACTGGATCTTAAGCATAATTTCATGATAAATATGTTGTTTTTTACGAAAATCATAGGCGGTTATGGACAAAAAGATAATAAAAACATTTTCAAGCAATCATTATTACTAGAAATAATTGTTCTTGAAAATCAAATACGAAACAAGAGTAATATACAATGAATTCAAACATGTTTTTTTAAAATATGGACCCTAGGTAAGGGCGACTAATCATAAAATTCACGGTAGATCGATTGTAAATATTATTTACATGTACGTTTGCGTAGTTTTGATACAATTTCTAAATCATTCGAAGATAAATTTGGTTTTATTCATAAATTAAAACAAACTAAATACACACTAGTGAAAATTTATGCAAATACATTAAAACAGATGAAGTAGCTTCAAATACATAAATATAAGTCACCTTCAGTAAACTTGTTGAATGTTTCAAACTTTCAGGTGAATAATAATGAAGTTAGGGAGTTAATTACACTTTATATGTTTAGGTCTGATAACAATAAGTATAAAATTAGACCAGAAATTCATACAATAGTTTGTCAGTTTAAATTCATACACCGATACACCATATAGCAAGATAAAACCAATGAAAACAAGAATTAAAGAAAGTTTTATGACACTAGTAGTAACAGTATTGAAAAACATGAGGAAAAAATGAAGATTGGTACTGCACAGAAAGATACAAAATGATAAGTGGTATTTGCTACTTAGAAAAAAATAGGGAATAGATATATATGTACTAGTAAGAATGATTATCAACTATCTAAGTTAAAGTCTCTAACTAATAAATCAGTCCCCTGGACCTCAAAAAATGCGAAACATCCTTTAAATAATCGATGGAGTTGGTAAGTATCATTACAATTAACCTGAAGTATTTCATGATACTCTTAAGCCGACTAGTATAGTATATCTAAGATATTTAATACAGCACAAGTCCTAGAGGCTTCCAGAAACTTGAGTTCCCTCAACGAATATTCCAGAGACAACAGAAATCAATAATTTACATCGTTCGGAAGTCATCCTAATGGGGAGCGACAATTAATACAGCTACATAGGATGTCCAAACAATGTGGGAGACCTGAAAGCTCATCTACATAGCACCAGATATGAGATATAACATTGCCGTATTTGGAATCAGTAAAACCCATTGCACAAGATGGACAGAAAAGATGTTGTATTCCAATTACAAAAGAAATTTTCCCTCACACACAAAGAGTTGCATTGATACTCTCCCACCAATGATAAGAGCGAAGACGACAAAGACTAGTTTTATGAGAGGCTGCTGTCCAAAAGATCTGAGTAAAGCAAAGAGAGCATTCCTACAATGAAAGAACATCTGGAACTCAAAGCAGTCAGCCAACAAGGAATTCAGAACTGTACATATAAACGTTAAACAGTTCTATCCTACGGAGCTGAAACGTGAAGTACTACCACCATCAACAAAACGTACACGAATTTATGAACAGTTGTCAACGAAGGATACCACCGACCAGAGACCACTGGTGATAACCGACTCTGGTAGTAAACAAACTGGCTTTCAGCTGAGGAGGAAACTGAGAAAAGATACCGGAGGTGGATAGGACACACTTTGAGGGAACCATTAAAATGTATCACAAGGCAATCTCTAAACTGGAATTTTCAAGGCGAGAGAAAAATGAGCAGACCAACGAACACATGTTGTCGGAAATCGGGTGCAGACATCTAGAACATAAATAGAACTCGGTAACAACTGGAGAGAGCCCAAGACAGAGTTTCTAGGAGATCACTTAATTAAACGCCCCAAGAGGGCCAACAGGTTTAAGTCAGTAACTATTTATATTTGTTTAGTTTCCCATTTCATTTAACATAACGATCAATTAATTTTTTCATGTACAAAACAAAAAGTCATCATTTATGAAGGCTGCTTGAAATACCTGTCAAAAAGGCAACGCCTGTCACAAAACCCACAATATTTAAGGTAATACACTTAAAAGCAACTATGTTGAATCAATCAATACACACAGTGTCACGTGACCATAGACCACAAGAACGAGATTTAACTCAATAATATCATATTAAAAATCACTCAATATTAAGTAATAGACAGGTCATTTATCAATATTCGATTTCAACGCTAGCAACTATCTGATAACTAACATAATAAGACTAGTAGGGGAAAAATAAAATGGAATCATGTGAATAATACAAACGAAAGTATATAATTGTAACCAGTTAGAAATGTTCACCGAAATTAATAAAAATCATATAAAGACAAACTAAATTCTATTCTTAAACGCTAACAGAAATCATTTGATAGTTCAAGTCGAAATACCAATACATGGGTTATTTTTCCGAAGCTCTGAAGAGTTATTGATGAAGAACAGTAATTTATAAAAACATATTGTGTGGATTTTTTAGCTTTTCAGAAAGTCAAGTATCGAATACACATTTACAACAGTATATACTTTAACGATAGGAAGGGAACTATAGGTATAAATGTTATGGAAAACGTTTATATTTAATTGTGATTTTTATTTAACATGAACTACAGAAATATTCGAACTGATGTACGTACTTACGAAGTTCTATGTTGATACTGACTGACTGACTGAGACACTACACGCATTTACAATTCAATCAAACACATTGAACTACTTACCACAAGTTCTACACACATAATATATTGTTCTAATGAAGTTTCAACAAATACTACCTACCTACCAAATATTATTTAGTAGTAATTCCCCAAGTACCTCAAAAAAAATTAATATTTTAGTAATAAAAGTAATATATTTGTTAACAATCCTTCCAATGCTCAATTAAATTAAAGTTATCGAGTGAAACCTTGATAATGATACCTACAAACTCATGAAAACCTTTTGACTGAAGAAATAGTAAATATGTTTGGTTTATATGAAACAAAAAATAAAGCATACAGTGTAGATCGAGACGCAATTGCACAGATAAAAAAATTAAAAATTTTGACAACAAATGCACTTTTGCCATAGAAATTCATACAGATGTTGAATTTTTATAGTTCCCATCACGAACTAATCTTAGTTCAACAACCATTAAGAATCAAGAAGCACTAAATATCTGTTTCGTCCTAATTTGGGACTACCCAGCAGTGTGCACCCATGACCCTAGAAGGGACAGAATTCAAAACCTTAAGGTCTGACAGCAAGTGAATAACCTTTGGACCACCAAGCAAGCACATATTGATATACATGTATAATTTCAATTAGTCCACAATATTGCATAAACACCTTTCATTGATTTCGATGGGTAACTGCCTCACATGATCACGACAGTCGACGATGGTTGGGCAGTATCAAAAACTAGTCGAAGTCGAACATGTATATCATCGGGTATAAAAGTTATTCACTCGCCGTCAGGCGCTAAGGTTATGAATTCGGTCCCTGTTGGGATCATAGGTGCACACAACTGTGGAGTACCAAATTGGGATGAAACAGATATCTAGTACTTTCTGATTCTTAGTGGTTGTCGAACTAAGATTAGTTCGTAATGTAAACTGTGAAAACCACTCTTAAATTACCTTGTTACGGTAAAGTAGCACGTTATACAAAGACTGAAATGATTTATCAGTTTCGGGTATAAATTTATTAATATAGCGCCTTTAAGTTGTGAAGGATTTCAAATAAATGGATATAAAAAAAAACAGAACAAACGTCACAAAATTATTGTACTCCGATAAATTCAAATACAGCAATGTAATTGAGATTAAAAGTAAGTAACCTAATGGTAAGAAAAAAATTGGATTTATTCGCCTAGTACTTGGGTATGAGCCATACTTTAAGGTTGACATATTTTGTAACATTTTATAATCCTTAAGTAATAAGACCGATTTCACAAATCACTCCAAGAAATGACTGAGAAATATAGTTATAAAAATTGAGAATTTCTGAGCTCTGAAGAAAGACAAATATACGTAAGATAAAATGTAGTTCGTCTGTTTATTAAAAATATGTATAGGTGTGGATAGTGTTCAAATACCAATGAATCTTAATTCTTTTGAATAACATAGTTACTTATTAGCATATTTACGTGTTTTAAGGGCGTAACAGCATTTATACGAGTACGAATTTTCACCATTTGATCGTATTAGCAGATCAGTTGTTGATTCAGATGTTGCATATAGCAAAAGTACACATGGTTAAGTATAAAGGCTTTATTCTAAAACAACCAACTTGTACGTTTGAGTAAGACGATAGTTATCGAATTTTTCAGGTAACATCTAGTGTTAGTCGTTTAAAGGATTATACTACATAAGCAAGTTTATTTATTCACTCCGAAGATGTCGCGAATAGCTCTTACCCAAAAAGAACCTATTTGGCAAATATCAGAAAACTACATGCGTGTACTATTCACTAGGTAAATGCAAAACTATGTTGAAAAATCCTAAAAGATTATTGTAAAACTGTACGTTAACTCACTTTCAAAAAGACATGGAAGTGAAGTACTCAAAAATACTTGTGGAGTATTACTGGATCCTTTCAAATTTTTTTCATCAGATAGGTTTGAATTTGAAAAACCAACCAAAACATCAGTTTTCGGCTGACTCTTAATAAACCTACTTGGTGTAACGTTCTGTTGTCCAGTTATACACTGTAGAGAATCTGTTAGAACAAAAAGTATATATTTCAGTAAATACATGAATAATGCCTGAAGTATATTTCATATTAAACTTTACAGATTATGAAGTACACAGGTACTACAATTTTATGAGGCATATCTATGTAAATAATAAACATAAGTCTCATTAATTTCAGATAAAGACTTATCAAAATTGTAGTTGGTTGCAAAGTTTTAATTAATAATCCTGAAAAAATGTTGTAAACTTCGTAGACGCTTATTGTTATGACGAGTAGTACGATTCCATGGTTTTCTTAAATTTAATGATTATTTTTATTATTATGCAGAAAAGGTCTACACATCTCGTGTGATTGATAACGTACAACTTTCTGTTTATTACACCAGACTAGAACTGGAGTCATTTCACCACAGAATGATGTGCAATAGTAAATAACCAAGCACACTTTAATTTTCTACGCAATCCAACTATTCCACTTCTGTTGTGATATAAAATTTGTATACTAAATTTACACTATATCATACATCAAAAAAGCAACACTCATCAAGGTAGGCTGTGGTCGGGTATACATGGCACATGTCCCAACCACTTCAATTAAAGTATTGGACTTTCAACCAACAGATCGCGGATATAGACAGGTTCTAGCCACTTATGACTGAAAATCTGAGTAGAATTGGTAAGCTTCATGCAAAGTATGGCTTAAAGCCGAGTATACAAAACTCGTGCTTGATCAATGAGTCACATCATCATATCTTTTAACATTAATCAGACATTTTTCTCTCTTTAGGAACTTATAAAAATACAAGTTTGTCGAAAAAGTCGTCTAATTTTTCAAATCATTACTCCAAATTACAGCAGCAAGCGAAATCAAAATCAAGTGACGATGTGGCTAGTAAAATACCATGGAGAATCTGATCCATATACCACATAGAGCATATATTCCTTAATTAAAGACAAATGACTTGTGTGCAGGCCCATATCAGTATGGTACAAAGATTATGACACACTGGAACCAAAGAGAAAATTTATATAAAATTTTCTAGTAACTGTAGGTGGCAATGATAAGCGATCGTGCTGTTTTGTATTTTGTGATCTTATATATACATATTGTAATTTCAAGAGACATAGGAAGTGTTTATTCATGCAGGGGTTTGGTGATTTTCTATGATGCTGATGGTCAAATATCAACATAAAAACTCAAATATGATTTAAACTTGTTAAGGAATCTTCTCCGTAAGTATTACAGATCGTTTGGAAGGACGTGTTAATTGGAAATATTAATAAACGTTAGTGAACAGTGCACAAATTGTTTTAAGATATTAAGAAATGTTTATAGACGAGCAAACTACCAGTCAAACTATTGACATAGGAAACGACAGCATTCAACAAAAATTTGCGAGCAGGTTTGTCGAGAAAGTTTCTTTGCAGGTATATGAGGAGACGGCTAAAGCACCCATACCAACTCCTAACAATCTGGATAGATTCACATTGGATCAGTTGAAAAACCTGTTTATATATGTTAGACCTGTAAATTTACGTAAATATTGATGAGAAAAATCTCGAAAATGAACGGAACTTATTATTAACGTTCCTAAGGGCTTTGATACAAAATTATGTAAACGTTAGCAAACTGGATATTATTAAAAAAAGGAGAATTACCGTCGTCTGGATTAATAGCTGAAGAATCTTCATTTGACTTTGAAGTTGAAGCCATTCTTCATTGTTTGCTTTCTTCAAAATCCATGTGGTCGACTGGCTGAAAGCACAATAGAGTTGACAGAAATCCCAACTGAAATTCACGTAAAAATTAAGATCAACAAACGCAGTGATTCCTCGAGAAGTCCATGATTTATTAAAATTAAAAGATGAGACTAATTTATAGGCGCATCTATCAGATTTAGGATAACAGGTCTTGGCTTTTAGCGCGAAATCCATTCATCCATTTAGCTAAATAGCATTCTGGAATTTTAGCTGACGTCAGTTCGTGATAAAAACATTGATGTTTGTTAATTGCCCCCGAACGCCCTGGTATGGCCGAGAGTGGGGAGAGTCCGCTCTCCCTCTCGAAATACTCTCACACGGCCGCGCGTATACAGCCTCTGCCAGGGAAGTCCTACTCATTGCCTTCTCGTGGCGGGGGTGTTGTTTACGAAAATGAGAGGACGAAAAGCGAACGTCCGGCGCTTTAATCGGATCACAACCCAATGGTGCACATGGGCTCCAGTATCCTGCGGGAACAAATGGCGTATGAACCAATCGTTGGTCACTGGCTACCATGGGATTGCATCTCCTTACGATGCTCCACTGCCTTGTGGGTTAGACCATTAGGTCAAAGGCTCGGGGTGTGGCCCCCTAAGATAACCACCTGCTTCAGTTTGGGCACCTGGGCAGTATCACAGCCCACACACAAATGATGAACTCTTTATGTCTATGGAAATTACCTTTCTCGCTTCGAAAAACAATAAATTGATTCAAATTATTATCATTACAATTATTGTCATTATTATTATTATTATTATTATTATTATTATTATTTTCCACATTACTCACCCTCTTTTATACTTATACAGCGGCTCGTCTTTGGTGGAAATTCGACTGTATCTAAACGTTCTCGAGTCACTGTTCGGTTGAAAATTGTATGTTACCACCGAATACGATAACTGAAACAGTTTTTCTGAAACCACATATATCATTCAAACTGGCTGCCTTCAACGTTCGCACAATAATGCAGATCGGACAACAGATAAGGTCGGCTATGTCTTTAAAAAGTCTTAATATCGACGTATGTTGTCTATCCGAGACCCGTATTCAAGACTCTGGCGAAGTACTATAAATTCGATCTCCATCTGTCGCTTCGAAAAGCTTGTTTTACGTGCGCTTATCCGGGAACCCTGTGGCATCTTCATCTGGTCTTGCTGGCGTTGGTGTCGCACTAAGCGCCAGAGCTGAGGGAACACAAGTCGATTGGATCCCCATTAACAGTCGGTTATGTGCTGTTAGATTAGAAAGTTCCATCAAAGTGAGAAGAAATCGGCGTGAGAAACGATGTCTTTTCGTCATCTCCGCCTATGCCCCGACAGATTGCAGCCCGGATGCAATCAAGGATGAGTTTTACCACCAGTTATCTGTTCCTCTCCAGAAAGTGCGTTCGACAGATATTGTAGTACTAGCTGGAGACTTGAATGCTCAGGCCAGGAGTCTAGGCACAGAAGAGAGTCGTTTACGTGGCCGATGGGGACTCGTTGGTCACAGGTCAGATAACGGGGACCGTCTACTGCTACTTTGCACAGACCACAACCTGTTTCTGGCTAGCACTAACTTTCGGCACAGTCATCGCCGATGTGCCACCTGGCGTCCTCCCTCTGCATCCCAAGCCTGGACTCAGATTGATCACATCGCGATCAGCTACCGCTGGCGTGGTTGTGTAAAAGACTGCCGCTCCTTTTGAAGTACCTATCTGGACTCTGACCATGCCTTGGTCTGCGCCAATCTTGCCTTACTTTTCAGTGGACAACGAAGTGACCGCCATCAAAGGATTGATATTAGCAAGTTGGTTGCAACTTCTCTTGCAAATAAGTATCGAACCGAGCTAGCCTCTAGGCTAGCTACCACTCCACCGAAAGGTATAGATGAGCATTGGTTGCAATTTCATGACGCCATGAAAATGGCGGGAACAGTCAGTTGTGGGTTCGCGAAACGTCCCGCTTATAAGCACTGGGTTTCTTCTGGTTCATTACAACTTATTGAAGCCCGTCGGTCTACTCCGGGTGACCGTGAGTTTGACCATAAACGAAGTAGTGTGAGTGAAACAATCTGTGAGGATGATGGGATGCCAATCACTAACACCCATCGATGTCTCAGACGATGGGCAGAGTTCTTCGATGGGCAGTTCAACTGGTCTGCTGCTCCGGCAACATCGATCAGACTGTCCTGCCCTCCAAGGCCTGTGTCGACTAATCCACCGAATGAGGCGGAAGTCCACAAAGAACTCCAACTCTTGGAGCGCTACAAATCATCGGGCCCAGATGACCTACCTCCGACATTTCTTAAAGATGGTGGTGACTTTCTGACTAAGGAACTGACGACGTTGTTTACAAAGGTCTGGGAGCTAAAGAGTGTACCAACGTCATGCAATGAGTCGATAGTTGTCGCTATCTTTGAAAAGGGTCCACGCCGTCTCTGTAACAACTATCGGGGGATAAGTCTACTTCCGATTGTGTCCAAACTATCGGCTCCCGTCATACTTCGTAGATCGTTCAAAACCCGAGAAAGATTGACTCCCGAAGAGCAGGCTGGCTTCCGTTCTGGTCGAGGATGTATTGATCATATCTTCACTCTCCACCAAACGTTAGAACACTGTCATACTTATCAAGGGCCAACAATCGTAGTGTATCTTGACATCAGGGCTGCCTTCAATTCGTTGGACAGGACTGTTCTCTGGAATTGTCTATTGCAGAAGGGTATGTCTGAGAAGTCTATTAACATCTTAAAAGCCCTATATACAAACACTTCCGGCAGAGTGAGGACATACAACCGCCTCTCTCCATTGTTCCATTCACACAGTGAGGTTAGGTAGAGTTGCCCAATCTCACCGTTCCTCTCCAACTTTGCTATCGATGACCTGAAAACAGCTCTGATGGATGTTAATCAGTCATCAACAACGCAGAACTTCGTATGTACGTACATCAGTTCAAGTTGCCATACCACGTTAGCATACAGATACAATTGTCGATTCAAATCCCATAGTGGTAGACGTAGTAAAAGTATAAGCAGTAATCGAAAATATTTGGATCCGAAGATGTTATTCAAAGACTATAATCCAGTGAAATCAATTTGGAAAGAGAAAAAACAGAAAGGGACATGAAGAATTCAGAAGACTAGAATTTCGGAGAACACAAAGAGTGGATGCACCTGCGCTATTACAAACGATTTTGAGCCATGTCATTCAAGGTCTCTAACCACCGATTACTATCGTCTCGCAGATCCAAACCAGATAGTCTACACCCACCAACATGACTCAGTTCACTTGTCACTGACTTAATGGATTTGTGCTACGTTTTGGTCTGGTCGCCCCTAGCTTTCTTCCAACCTACTTCTACATCATAAAGCATCGCTCGTCGGGGCAGTCAGTGGTCGGGTATACGTAACACGTGCCCCAGTCATCTCAACTGATGAGGTTTCACTACTTCGTTAACTGATTCGTCATCCTTACCTAGTACCCGTTTCCTAACAACTGCATCACTTACTCGATGGTCTCAGGATATACGAGCAATGCTTCGAAGACACCTATAATCGAATACTAGCAACCTATGAATATCCTCTACTCTTACCGGTCATATTTCACTGCCATAAAGTAGGACGGAACGAACTGCTGCACAGTAAACTCGTCTTTTGGTTGGCAGACGAATATCTTGCCTACGCCATAAATGATGCAAGTTGGCAAAAGCTAGTCGAGCCCTCTGTATCCGCGCCAATGGATGTAAATAATGGCTGTGTGAATCCGTTGCCTGGAGAAAGACTACTCGACCTTGAGTATGCGGATAATATTGTCTTACTGTGAAACACTAGAATTAGTGTGACGCATATATATTTGGCGCACTCCTGTACCAATATTTATGTGTTCAAATAAATAAATAAAACTGTGCGATAATGCCCAAGCCATGCAATCCGCACTTAATCAGTTGGCAATCAATGTCCGTAGGTACGGCATGTGCTTTGCACCTTCGAACTGCAAAGTACTTCTACAAGACTGGTAGGAACCTGATCCCATACTCACCCTGGATGGTGAACAGATAGAAGCAGTAGAGAAGTTCGTGTATCTAGGTAGCTGCATAAATGCTGGTGGTGGCGTGAGTGATGAGATCAATCCACGTATAATGAAAGCCAGAGCGGCTTATGTCAATCTGGGCCATCTTTGGCGCCTTCGTGATGCCAGTCTGGCTGTAAAAGGTCGGATCTACAACGCGTCGGTGAGAGCAGTTTCGCTCTATGCTTGTGAAACCTGGCCTCTCCGAGTTCAGGATGTTAGGCGACTCTCTGTGGTTGATCATCGTTGTCTCTGAAGGATTGATGACATCCAGTGGCAACACCATTTTAGCAATGCAGAAGTTCGGCATCTTGTGTTCGGGCTCAGTGACGATAATCCAATTGGTGTCACCATCTTGAAACATCGACGTCGGTGGCTTGGACACGTTCTACGAATGTCGTCCCGGAGAATTCCACGTCGTGCATTATTTGCCGACGCTGGGACTGGTTGGAAGAGGAGGAGAGGTGGTCAGTGTATGACATGGTGTCACGGTATACAAGAAAGCTGTACAAAACTGCCTTTTCTTGGTCCTTCACGACTCCCTGGTTGGGGTCTGAGAGATGGTTCTACACAGTGGCTAGAGACGCTATCACATATGGCTTAGAATAGAAGTCAGTGACGATCCTGCTGTAACCTTCTTTTACTTTCTTCATAAAATATGATTGTTTCCTCCTTAACTGAAAGATTTCTTCTGGTTGAATCTTTCCGTTTCCCTCATTACTATTATTATTAGACTACCTTACACTAATCTGGTCGTTATCGTTCTTCTTCTTTTTCTTTTACACTCCCTACCTTTTTTTCTTCTTTCTCCCTATTCTCAGTTTTGTGTAGCGCATATATATTTGGTGCCCCCTTGTAACAAAATTTATGTCTTGAAATAAATAAACATAAACCTTATTCTTCACACA